TCAGTTCGGTGATCTGATCTCCATTAGCTCCAATGCCCACCAAAGGGGTTTCTTTTGTCTTTCTGAGTATTGAGGTGGAGGAGCTGCTGGAAACTTCCTGAAATACAGTTCCCAATTTGTGTTCCTGAAGTTCCTATAAGCTCTGCTTGCTGAGCGTACTCTGATCATGCTAACAGTACTTTACCTATGATCTCAGAAAGAATGTCCGTCTAGAATTCTTTATTTAAGGATGAAGTGTACAATTTCCCTTGAGGCTAGCAACGTCAAGGAGCACCGCCCAAGTAGTCACAAAATTGATAACGTCCCTCTATTGCAAATAAATTGGTCTTTACAACATTTAAAATTAATGTTTGAGCTTCCCAGACAGTATGCTTCCCCTAAAGTATGCCTGGAATTAGCATCCGAGCCAATTATTACGCTGGCTCGGAGGTGGCTCAACCTCGTCGTCCTCGTTTTTGAAATTATATACAAGAAAAACATTAAATCCATTTCTGACCATTCGACAAGCTCTCTCGCATGTTACATGATGCGTATCGTGCTTACTATCGTGGTCTTAATATACATTTAAATAAAAAGTTATTAAAAAATTGCTAGTAGTGGTTTAGCCTCACTACCATATAGGGCTTCAATGTTCACACATACAAAATGAAAATTAGATAAAATTTACCATCTTCTAGAAACATTTTAATATAATTATTTTAAGGTATATTAGCATAGTTGTGGTTATCGTCGGTCGGTTTTATCTTCTCAGGTGGAAATTTTGCATACTTAAATCAAATCAAGTAGGAGTTATAATTTTTTTTTTGCCATTTTTTTCATAAGCTATCTTCCAATAAACCATTCTCTATTATGCAAGTATATCTTTCCTATCACTTTTTTCTTTAAGTTATTTTATTTATTGTTGAAATTTCCTTCAGATGTCTTTAAAGTTAAAGGATTATTTCTGTCTCAAAGATATAACCAAATCCTATAAATATATACCATTAATATTTTTTAGATATATAAAACATTATCAAAAGTGGCTTACCAGAAGACACTATTTTATATGTCAAGTCAAAATACAATTAGTGCAGCTAATTGGTACGGATCCTAAAGAACTAATGGTGGTCCCTGAAAATCAACTTAATAAGAAATTGGAATACGTTAAGGAGCTATTAGAATTATATGAGAACTTGGTGCCTTGTAAGTAGCACAATTAATATCTTATTCTTATAATTTATTAGCTTTTGTTTTTGATAGGTGAGGTACGAATGTTGGGCACATTTTGTTTTGAGTTACACTCCGCTATAGCAGAACACACCCGACGTGTGGCTTTACAGACAACGTTGTCTCCGAAAAACATGCTCGAAGAGTCTCTACTCTACGTCGAAAAGTGCATAGACTACTTGCAGCAAGAATGCGACCTTTTCGTTGAAGGACACATCCTTAAGCAAGCGAAAATCAATAGAGACGCTCTCAGAATGGTGCTAGTGATGTAGATCTTCCAGGAGTTTAACGTAAAGAATTTTACTAAGTAAACGTATGCCAAATTGCTTAATTTATAAGCTGAAATACTTTTAAAGATAAAAAACTTTATATTAAAAAATGGTGCGAAAGAATTAAATATCCATTATTCGATGAAAACGTGAATTAATTACAATCAATTTTGGTAGCTTCTTGACTTATATTGAAGGCCATTATCTTAGACTCAGTTTAATTGCTATATTTTTGTTCGTTTCAGCTAAAATTATATTAAAAAACCTTCAAATGAGATATACAAGATATGTAGTGATATTAACTCGATCGTAGAGGCTAAATTTAATATTGCGCTTATGTGAAAACATATTATTTGAAGCAATTTTATATATAAATAATACTCACAGACCGACTTGTTAGAATGGCGAAAATCATTATAAGTAGTATATGGGAGCTGGGTAGCATTGACCCGATTTTATAAATTTTTGCCAATACCCTATACTACTAACATGTCAAAGACTAATAAAATGCTTCCAGGGTTTTAAAAAGTGGCCTCACATACCGCCACCAATCATATGGAGTAAAGTCACCGGATATTCGAAAATACTGATATTTGTTATATCAGGGCTAGGTTAAGTTTTCGCACAATTTTATCCATTTTAAGCACGAAGATACACTGTTATGAGCAAATACGCTCTCTCATTGCCATTGAGATAACTCACAAATTGACTGATATATGCAGTATAAAGTCAACTGAAAGTTCGAAAACCTTTATACGAAAACCTTTTTGACATACAGACATACTATCATCAGGAAAGCATTCTCTTTGAATTACAATTATATATCTCACACATTGATCGATATTTTCAGTAGAAAGTCAACTATAGGCTTTGGGGTCCACATATTCGGTACCTAGGAGCCTGAACAGTTTTAGTTTGATTTTGAAAATTTTTGGTAAATAGGTGGCACGCTTTACAGGCATTATTCGTTTTATCCCGATAGATGCATTCGTGCTTGATTTGCATACTGGAAAGAGAAAGAATAAGATGGAATTTAATTAAAACTGAGTTATATGGGAAGTAGGCGTGATTGTATTCCGATTTCGCACATGTTCGCACTGAATATATATGACTTATAGAAATGTCAGAAGAATGTTATATACCTAATTTGGTTTAAATCCATCCAGCAGGTCCCGAGATATGGGATTTCACCTAACAGTGGGTTTAAGTCGTTTATGGGAAGTGGACAGGACTATCTTCAGATTTCATCCATTTTTACACCGTCAGTAGGGGTGCCGTGATCACGCCTATTTTTTTTAGAATTTTCAGTCCACAAGTGTCACTTGCGGCTCCTATCCCTTGTGCTAAATTACATTTCTATATCTTAATTTAGTGCTTAATAATGACAATTTATAGGTTTTCGATTATTGGCTGTGGGTGTGGCAGTGGTCCGATTACGCTCATCTACAAACTCGTGCTTACTTTTTTTTACCAAAGAACACGTGTACAAAATTTCATTACAATATCTTAATTTTTACTCAAGTTATAGCTTACATGGACAGACGGACAGAAAGACATCCACATTTCAACTCGCCTCGTCATCCTGATCATTAATTTATGTATAAACCTAACTCGATTAGTTTTAGGTAATAAAAACAACCGTTAGGTGAACAAAACTATTATACTCTGTAGCAACATGTTGCAAAAGTATAAAAATACTACATGATATACACATATACACTTTGTTTCACTTGAATAGCATAAATTGATATTTAGATCTTCTCAATATCAATCAAAATTCTCAATTTGTTGGAAAAAATTTAATAAATGGTATTTAAACAAAAATTTTTAACAAAAAGGATACTTTTATTGGCCAACTCAAATGTTTTGAGTTTTGGAAAATATTAATTTTTAGGGACGAGAGCAAATACAACCATTTTGGTTCATATGGTCGTCGTAGGGACTGGCAAAAATCAAATAAATAGCTACAAATAAAAATATGTAATCGGCCGCACAGCACAGCGGAGTTAATTTTCAGATTGTAGGGTTTTTTCAGATCGAAGGGCCTTAATTCTGCGTCTGCAGATACTAGCAGGTGTTCTGGGGTTTCCGGCTCCATGTCGCAGAAACGGCGAAACCTAGTGATTATAGATAAGATCAGTACGATAACGATTCAAAACTGACGGAGCACGAAGTTAAAATGTGAATACTTTCAATATCAATAATTGACAAAATTAGCCTTGGAGAAGTAATGAGTTATTCTAATATTAATATAATATATAATTAAATAAAGTAGCAATAAACTAGAAAAAATGAAAATAAATATGTTTATTTCATTATTTTTATATGACAAATATTTTGTGAGCCTCTGTACATCAAAACCAGCCACAGTTCATTAAAAAAGCCAAGCTCCCTATCATCTGTTATTTAAAGAACATCGCTGTTCTAGAAAACTTCGGTTTTTTCCATTACATAAACGAAACGTGACTATATGATATTTCGTCTCTTTTATTATTCTACAATGACTTTATTGTGACTAAAATGTGAGGCTGCCTTTACTACATTTTTCTCCTGATAACATACTTTGCCTGCAGGAAAAGTATGTAAAATAATATATATAAATTATGTAAAATTTAAAAATTTTGTTTAAAATTAAAAAAATATTTTAAAATAGGAATCCGAACCGAAATGTGCAATTTGTTTAAAATTAAAAAAATATTTTAAAATAGGAATCCGAACCGAAATGTGCAACCCTGGGCCAGCTGACGATTAGGGTAATTAGATCAGTTCAGCTATATGTTTTTTACATGACACTGCTGAATGAGTGCAACAGGGATGCATGATCACACGTATATGAGTGTAAGGAGAAAGTGGTGAGGATTGTCACGCCGCCTATGGCGCGTTCACCAGTTTTGAATGTTTAGGTACAACAGTCACCGACGCAAAACCGTGTCCCGAATTAGCTGATACGACCTATCTTATGAGAGCGCAATGTAAAAAACATTGTATAAACCTACTAGTAACCAATCCTAATATTTTCACTAATACACACGCAAAAATGTCCCACTTAGTACGGGTTGCCTTGAAAATTCTACTACTAAAATCACACTTGGTACGGGTTGCCTACTTATATTCTACTACTAAAACGTCCAAATGACACAAATCTGCTATAGTGTGTTGCCGTGTTGAGTTTTAAAATTTATAACTTTAAGAATGTTTTTATTACATATTCAAATATTTTTCGGTTCTTATAATTCGTAAAGATTAAATTTACATAGTATTATTTAAACTGTTATTCATTGCATTGAAATATTATTTAATGTTTCTAATGTTATCAATAATATTATTGTGGTCGGTAACGCGCCTATCTTGCAACCTGAGGAAAAGCAATAAATATATAAAACCCATTTGTTTCGATAACATTCTTGAAAGTTTTCATTATTATTTCCATTACGAATAAATGTTTATAAGCAAATTGTTAAACTACATCCTTTTATTTAATTTTTTATTTAAATATAATTAATTAAAAAATAAACTTGAATATATTGAAAATATTCATAAAATAACTCAAAAGCACAGTCGAATACAATTATTTATAAATAGGTAAACTTTTTTTAATAGTTGATTTTAGTTTTGAACTTTTACATTAAGAAAAATTATAACGAAAAAACTAAATGTGTGAAACATCGTGTAAATCGTACAAATAGAACAATGGCAACATTGGGGAAATAAAAACATAAGAGAACAACTGATTTCTGCGTTGCAACTACGGGCATAACTTTTGACAAAATTGGTTTGATACGGGCGGTAAGTAAGAAAGTGACTTTCCACTCATTGTATAAGTAGATTTACACAATGATTTCACTAGTTTTTTAACCATTTTTGCTGGCAGGGCAAAAGATTCAACACAATTACACATTTTTTCTTCAAGCACCAACCAATTCAACCAATACCAACGCACACCTTTGGTATACTTATTTTTTTAACTAATTTCAAATATACGAAACAAACCAACCGTGCTAAGTTAAGAAAATTATGTATATATTTTTATAAATGTATTATTAACTATCATCTTTTTAATATTAATAAAGCCTACATGAAAGGGCCAACATTCTTACGCTACACTGTCTCGTGGACTGTTGATGACAAGTTTTAACTGGCAAAACAAATATTTGTCAATAAGTTTTGTAATCTGTGAGATTTCCCGTTTTTAATAACACTGCCACAAATTGATTTTATATCGTTAGAAGAGCATTATGCTGCGTGAGAGGTTGCATTTAACGTGAGATCAAACAATTAAGATCATTATTAGGGATTCGGTTATATTGATAGCAAGTAACGGTACTGTTGACTGGCTTTCAGCAATTGTATTCTTACGTTACATTGCTGTTTCTACGCAGCTACTTTCGAAAGCATGCCTTCAGTTATGATTACAATAATTTAGTATAGGTTTAAATATTTGTAACTTAGGGCCGTTTTCTCAATATATGCTTAAGCGCTTAATTAGAACTATATCGGCAACATGTTGAAAAGTGGTTTTCTTAATATATGGTTAGCAACGATCTCTCAGTTAAATTCTGTTAAATTTAACCGAAGGAAGGAGTATTGGTTAGTTTCTAACCAGAACATGAAATGACAGCTGTCAGTTGTAAAATCTATAAGGAAAATCAACTGCATAGACGGCGTTCGGACCGGGACTGTTTTGTCGGTCATTATCTTTTTATATATATATTTTGCATTTTGATTTTTGAAAATAATATAAATATTCTCTTGAAACCAAGCGCTGTTGCAACCATGAAAGGAATTTCAACGGTCTCTTCGTCTTTCTTCGTCGTCCCCTCGCCTACGAAAAGCGGTTTAGGCGGCAAAAAGAGTCCTCGTCTGAACATACACATAGGCTTATGACGTTTACACTGTTCTGCATGCTCACAATGCAAGTTTCGTGAACTGTTTTCTCCATACATTCACAATAATCAAACTATATGTAGGTAAGCGAACCACAACTTGGTGAAAACGGTTCTGGCAGTTAAAGCTATTAACCAGTTAACCTACCAGCGGTTAAGGATAATATTCACCGAATATTGAGAAAACGACCCTTAGTTTGTAAGAAAATAAATAATAAGAATATCAAGTTAAAACTTTTGTTGGGAATTTTAAAAATATTTTTAATTACGTATTTGAAAATGCAACCCAGCGTGGGCTGAGGACTAAGGAAATTAGAGCAGTTCAGCTATATTTTTTTTATGACACTGCTGAATGAGAGTAACAGGGATGCATGATCACACGTATACGTACGTGAAAGGAGAAAGTGCTCAGCAAAAATCAGGACAACATTATGTGCTAGGACAAGATCACGATACGTTGTAACCAACACTAGTAACCGAAGTGGTCTAAACAAATGGTTTCATTAACATTGCGATGCCATAGGACATGACCAACTTTGGTCATTCCCACATTCCCATCATCACAATTCCCACAGCAGCCGGTTCTATGTTACCGGAATTGACCCGGATTTTAAACGGCCAAGGGCTGTTATTTCGGCGATATAAACCTGTTTGGATCGATAAGTGTTAGTTTAAGTTTGTCGTCATTAGAGCAACGTCTAGCAGCAGGGTTGCTCCGTATCCCCTTGACCCGTGCTGGCATCGAGTCTAACCCGGGCCCCGAGGAATTCCTTTGCTGCATATGCGCTAAAAGGCTCCATCCAAACTCCTCCTCGGTTAGGTGCCATGCAATGGATGGAGCCATCTTAAGACCTGCTCAGGCCTTAAGACCCATAGGGAGTGGACCACGAGTTACGTGGCCCCAAGCTGCCAACGCAATACTGCGACACCTTCCTCAACGGATGTGCAATCTGACCAACCCCCCCTCTACCTTCATTCCGCTCCAAATCCTCGTGCGAGAACTACTCAGCAACTCCTGATTCTACGCACAGTCTTTTCCGTGTGTCAGACTGTATTACGGCGGAACGTCACATCAGTCAAGTGCAACTCTAGCACTGACTGGTGTCCCTTTCTGTCGTGTTCAAATCGTCTAAATCCATTAGCCCTGACGGAATAAGCATTCTGATGCTAAAACATCTAGGCTCGACGGGAGTAAGCTACCTCACCAAGGTCCTCAACTTGTCGATGTCCACTTTTCAAATACCCGATGTGTGGAAAGTCGGAAGAGTGGTCCCACTACTGAAACCTGGAAAACCCGCCAACAAGGGGAGTCTTATCGCCCGATAACTCTCCTTTCCCCAGTAGTGAAGACACTTAAGGCCTTGCTACTCCCGACATTCACCCACCACCTGAGCCTAGCAGATCATCAGCATGGCTTCCGTAAAGTGCACAGTACCAGCACAGCACTTAGCGTCATAAACGCCCAGATAGTTCATGGCCTGAACCAGAAGCCACCCTACGAGAGGACGATCCTCGTAGCGTTGGATTTGTCAAAAGCTTTTGACACAGTCCATCACACAACGCTACTTGAGGACCTAGAATAATTAACGCTCCCTCCAGGGCGGTGTACTATGAACTACCTGAGCGGTCGGCATTAATCCGTACTGTTTCGAGGTCAAAACTCCAAACTTAAAAGAATTAAACAGGGAGTTCTGCAGTGTGGAGCCCGAACTATAGACAAGCACTGACCGCCATTCACAGTGGAGCCATCAACACATGCTCGAGTCGCTTCGCGAAACCAGAGTGACCCTCGCGCAACTTCGTTTTTGATATTCTAGCAGGTTAAACTCTTACTTATCCAGAATAAATGTGAAATGAGTCTCCGCATGATACTAACCACCTCTTTGCATGCCCAATAAACCCAACTCATCTAACACCCTTTCCCCTATGGTCCGACCCCGTCGAAAGAGCTGGTTTCTTGGGCCTCCCGTTAGATGACCTCGAAGACAACCAAACTATTACTTATCATACAAGCGGGGACTAGATAACCGTTATAACAGCAACAGCAACCACGTTTGGTTCAACGCTGCATAACATGGGACCTCCAAACTACTTTGTTTAGTCAAACCTATACTCTAGTACTTGCAATAGACCATCAATTATTATGGTATTATTGGACCACGTTTTTGACTAGTAATCGGTAACTAAATACAGCGTTGCCATCTTTTTCTTTGTCCAATAAAACAATTGATTTTATTGTCATTGTTTTTTTATTAATTATAATACAATTTTTTATATAAATTATATATATTGTGGATGAGAGTATTTATTGAGAGTGGTTTTATTTTTATATCTTTTAATATATAAATATCATATCCAATACCCAAAGCGAATCTTTGTGTGCCATAGTGCCCTTTTGGATGTAAATATAAATGATAATTTTATACTTGTACCATTTAATATATTATACCGATAATATCATACTGCTCTTCACCATTTATATCTGTGTTGATTATAACAGATACCACAGTTTCACGACGTAGGCAAGGACGAGCTGGCAGCAGTTCGCCCCTGTTGCAGTAGTGAGGTATCTAGCTAAGGTCAGGCTTCCTATCTCGGTGTTCGGTACTCTTAAATAGTGCAGAATCCAGATAGGAGGTCTTATTATGGTAGGAGGTGTGTAAATCAAGGTGTCATGCGATCCGTGCCGAAGATCAACCCAGCTGGGGGCTCTTAAATATCCCAGTCTCGCACGAAGCTTACGAATACCTGGGGCTTTCCACCTTTAAAAAGGCCGGAGGGAGCGAGTTGTTTCCAGAGGAGAGCAGCGTTTGGCACGAGCTCGACAAAAGTCAATTCGAGAACAGGAGCGAAGCTTGGTCCTGGAGCAAAGGCAAAAACTAAAGGTGCAGAAGCCAAGACTGGCGCCAAGAAAGCAACAGCACCGGAGGCAGCCCTGCCAACTTGGCATCGGAATCGGGATGCGAAGTCGGGGAAGATCCAATGAAATCCTCGAATGATGTGGAGAACACTGAGCAAGGTGAGTGTACTTCGGGGTATGAGCTTGCAGACAGAGTCTCTAAACTTTCCACTGAGTGTGAGCATTTAAGCGACTCTTAAGAAGACGCAGAGAAGACACTAATTAATGCGTCTTCTCCAAATTAATCAACACTACAGCAAACTAGCGTATCTAGCTCTAGTTAACCGTATGTCAGAAGAACGGCCTGACTTCGTCTTCATTCAGGAACCATGGGTTAATGGAGGGCGTATTTGCGGTCTAAGGACACCGGGGTATAATCTATACGTGGCTGGCTGCATATGTAAGGCTAGGACATATAATCCTCGTTAAACAGTTCACATATTCTTGTCGTCAAGCACTATAGGTGTCTTGTCCATTAACGAACAGTAAGGGAAGAGTTAGGCACCATTGGTGGTCTCTCATACTTAAGAACATGCAGAAAGATTGCAGGAAGCAATTCAATTTTACCAAATTATCCCAAAGAGAAGAAGAGTGGGATAACTATTATAACCTTCTACGGTCATATAAAAAGGAGGTAAGAAAGGCAAAAATAAATTCGTGGAAATCTTTTTGTAATGACATCGAGAATACGGCAGAAGCAGCTCGACTTAGAAAAATAATTACACACGATGATAAACAGAGCATCGGATACCATCAGAAGCCAGACCACAGCTGGACGGTATCTAGTGAAAAGACTCTAGGCCTACTAATGGATACTCACTTCCCAGACAGTTCCGAGAACCACATAAGGGAGCATGTACTGGAGAGTGAGCTTCAAGCCTTATAATCGCCGGGACCAGATGGATTATTCCCGGCTCAGTTACAGCAGTCCCTAAGCTACACAATAAACTGGTTAACAACCATGCTTAAAGGAGCACTGCAATTAAACTATATTCCCTCGGTAATGGAAGTCAAGGTGATATATATACCAAAGGCTGGTAAAAGCTCACACATTAATCCAAAGGATTTTAGACCAATTAGTCATTCATAATTTCTTTTAAAAACACTAAAGAGACTAATAGAAATACATATAAGGGGCAAACTAAACCCAGGAAAAATGGCAGTTTCGCAGCAAGCGTATTCTAAGAAATCCACAGAAACGGCATTAAGCTCAGTGGTAGCAGAGATTGAAAAGTCTCTGGAGATAAAAGAATACACCCTCGTAGCTTTCCTAGACATAGAAGGTGTTTTCAATAACATCCAGCCGAAGGCCATATTGAGCGCGCTTTAAGATCTGGACATCTCTGAGCCTCTCCGGAAATTAATT